TCCCTCACTTACTCACCTCTTTCCTCATATCTAAATAACAGTACATTTTATCAAGTGTCCCCTCTGTGTCACGTATTAAGTCCTGTGACTCTCACCAAAAGCCTGTGTGATTGGTCTCCGTTTTACAGATGGAGAAACCGAGACACGAAACGAGAAGGTGCTCACCCAGGGCCCCACAGCCAGCGCCAGGCGAGCCGCTTTCAAGCCTGGCCTGACCTGAGCTGCGCGCCCAGCTGGGTGTGATGCTGACGCTTCCAGGCGCGGCAACCTGGGCGCCCGTGACCTAGGGGCTGCTCTCAGCCCATTTCTCCGTGTGACACGGCAATCTGGGCGCCCGTGACCTACGGGCTGCTCTCAGCCCATTTCTCCGTGTGACACGGCAACCTGGGCGCCCGTGACCTACGGGCTGCTCTCAGCCCATTTCTCCGTGTGACACGGCAATCTGGGCGCCCGTGACCTACGGGCTGCTCTCAGCCCATTTCTCCGTGTGACACGGCAATCTGGGCACCCGTGACCTACGGGCTGCTCTCAGCACATTTCTGGTGACCACTGCTCTTACGCACCTTGGCAGGTAGCTTAAAGATGTGGAGAGTCCTCTTTCTTTGTAGGAAACAGCACATCAAATCTTTTCAAAATCAGATTTTGAGTGTTTCGTTCAAGTAAGAAATATTGATGGAGTGCCTACTATGTGCCAAAGATGCCAGGCAGACGGGGGTTGGGGGCTGCCTGCCCGGGGGAGGGGGCTCACAGTCAGTTGGCGGTGTGGGCCCATCTGCTCCGAGTCATTTTTGATGTGTGGAGTCCAAGGCTTACGGCAGCAGAGTGGGGTGATAAGGTGAAAGCTCTGGAGAGGCACAGGCTCGAGTTGGCCCTGGCTGTGACGCTGGTTGACCTCGAGGATGAGTGTGGTCATGTGAAATGTTCGCACTGGAAGCCCGGTTGGGGCGCATGCAGGAGGCAACCAACCGATGCGTCTCTCACTGACGTTTCTCTCCATCCCCCCTCCTACTCTCGACCTAAAGAAGGAAAAACTGACACATGTAGTCTTGAGCTGGGGCGGGCAGCTTGGTTCAGAGGGCATTTGGGGAGCCGAGAGGGTGACGAAGCCCTTGGTGGGATGAGGCAGGTCAAGGACACTTTTATGCCGCTAGGAGTCCCAGGCTGCGCCTCCAGAGCCCCCTCCGAGGCCGTCGCTCGCGGGGGCAGAGTGGCTCTCCCCAGGGCGCCTCCCCTGCCGTGTGGGGTGAAGCTGCACGGCCTCCTTCTGGGGTGATTAATTCTGCCCCCTACCTGGCTGCAGGCGGCATCCCCTTCGTCCTGACCGGCGAGTTCTTCCAGCAGTCCCAGCGGCCCGCGGCCTTCATCGTGGCGGGCACCGTCAACTGGCTCTCCAACTTCGCCGTGGGGCTCCTCTTCCCGTTCATCCAGGTACGGCTGACCGGGGTCCCTTCCCGCGGGTCCCCTCTGAGTGAGGGGCGAGTCACAGAGCAGAGGCTGGGCCTCTCTCCTCAGGAAACTCACGCTGTTGGCCTATGGAAGGGAGAAGTGTGCTTTGGCCAAAACCCTTAGATTTTCCCTTAGATTGCCAAATAAAAAAAATGACAACAGCCGACACAATAGTTGTCGGTAGGAATGAATCAAAATTATACCTGTTTTATTTTAAGATCGGCAAAAAATATATTTTTGGTGCGCCACAGAATTTTAGTAGTTAGTTTACATGTGCCATGAGATGAAAAAGGTTGAAAATCACAGGTTTATAACAATAGAAATGTATTCTTTCCTACCTCTGGAAGCTAGAAGTACAAAACCAAGGCGTGGGCAGGGTTGGCTCCTTCTGGAGGCTGAGGGAAGGACGCGTCCACGCCCTTCTCGCTGGTTGGAGGTGTTCAGCTTTCCTTGGCTTGTAGCTGCATCGCTCTAATCTCTGCCTCCGTCATCCACACCCCCTGTGTATGTTTCTCTGTCCCTTTTTTTAAAAGATATGCTTTTATTGATTTTTAGAGGAGATGGGTAGAGAGATGGAGACATTGATGAGAGAGAAACATCATGGATCCGCTGCCTCCTGCACGACCCCTACTGGGCATGGAGCCTGGAACCCGGGCATGTGCCCTGCCCAGGAACTGAACCCGCAGCCTCTTGGTGCAAGGATCACGCTCAACCAACCGAGCCTCGCTGGCCAGGGCTCTCTGTCTCATTTTGTAAGGACACTAGTGATTGGCTCTCAGGCCCAGCACAGTCCAGCATGGCCTCATGTTAACTTGATCCCATCTGCAAAGACTGTTCCCACACAGTGCCACAGTCACAGGCGCCAGGGGTTGGGACTGCAGCACTCACAGACACCCGTGGGGAGGGTCACAATTCAACCCACACTTTCCCTGTCTAGGGTGACCAACTCATCCCAGCTTGCCCAGGACTGTCTCTGTAAGTCCTACATCCCAGAAAAACCCCTTGGTCCAGGGGAAACTAGGACAGTGGTTACTCAGTCCCTCCTCACTTCCGAAGAAGCCACGCGCCCTCGAGTGCCCCTCAGGCTCCGCATCTGGGGACCCCAGCCTGCTTGGTAAATGGCAACTTCTGTGTTAGTTTATTGCTCGTATTGTCCTCCTTTGCCAGGCACTGTGTTAGGCACAAATGACACACAGGAGAGCCTGCATAGGCTCGGGTCCGCCGGCCTAACTCTGTCTGACGTCGCTTGCTCTTTGAGCCGTAATGTTCATGCCTAGAAGACAAGACAGTTGCCCCCATCTTGCAGCAGGGCTCTCAAAAGAATTAGAGGCGAGTCCAGGCCTGAGCTCAGTGTCTGCCAGGGACACTCAGGCACGGTTGCTACCTTGATGGTCGTTGGTCCCGTAAAGGTCGTTTCCTGCGTGGGCTCCTAAGGGCCCACAGGAGGCGGAGACAGGCCAGCAAGTAACTCAGGCTGTCAACGTAAGAAAACATTCAAGCCTGTGAAGAACTTTTTGTGAGTTTATTTGGGTCAAACTGTCAACATATATGCTAGGGAGCCAAAATCTCAACAGGTTGAAATAATGCTCCAGAGAATGGCAGTTTTGCACTTTATTTTATATATTACGGAGGAGAGGTGGGAGAGAGCGAAGTAGGGAGCGGAGGGGGCCCTCTGGAACTGGATAAAAAGTAAAATGAAAGACATATATTTCTCTTACAGAGGTGGGTACTGGATGGTTAACAGTCAACAGTTAACAAGGTAACAGCCCGGCCGGGCGGGGCTCAGCGCTTGAGCATCGACCTAGGATCCAGGAGACTGGGGTTCGATTCCCGGTCAGGGCACATGCCCGGGTTGCGGGCTGCAGCCGATCAGTGACTCCCTCATCATTGATGCTTCTCTCTCTCTCTCCCTCTCCTTTCCTCTCTCTGGAATCAGTAAAGATATGTTTAAAAAAAACAACAACATAATAACAATGAGAGGATTGTGGTCCGGGTGCACTGAGGGCCAGGAGAAAGGGGAAATTACTTTGTTTTGCAAAGGCATGTTAATCAGGTGTGTTATCTCAGATGCAAAAGAGGACAGACCGGCATAGTTAAGGTGAAAATTCACCTTTGTTAGGGGAAAATACTGCCTTAGGACATGACTACTTACCATACACTGCTCTTAGTTAAGAAGAGTTTTAATTTCAGACCATTCTTGAGGTCACTTTAGGTCTTTGAGTTTGCAATGCCACCATGCAGGCCTGCCCTGAGCTTGTCAGGTTTAGCATGTGGCCCCTTTCTGTCCGCATCTGTAAGAGAAGGTTAAGAAGCCCTACGTCCCAGCTGCTGTGGGGGACACTGTAGGACCCTGGGAACCCTTCACTTCCCCACCCCACCCCCAGCAGGGAGCGAGTGGTGATAAATTGTGAAGGAGAGGGCCTGAGCTCCCAGGCAGGCAGACCACACTGGGAGTCCCGTCTCCCATTAGTGCTCCTGCCCCCCCACCACCGAAGCCTTGGGCATGTCTCAGAACCTCTCCAATCCTCTATTTCTTCTTTTGAAAATGGAAATAAAGCGGCTCTATCACAGGGTGGCCCTGGGGAACAGATGAGATAATGTCTGTAATATCTCGGGCCCCCAGGAGGGGGTTAATAAGAACGTGTCTCTTCCCAGATTAAACCCAATCACACACTGGCAGTCACTCCAGGTCATGAAATTATCTGGGGCAGACACCGCTGCATGTCCTTGGGCGGCCAGCAGCAGGGGGAGGCTGCTTCCATCCATGCAGCTCCCTCAGCCCTTCTGCGGGGCTCGCCCGACTTTCTGGTGGAGCCTCTGGGCTTGGAGCGGCCGAGGGTTTTCCTTCCCTGTTGATTCTATGGCCAGGTCTCTCTTGTCTTCTCTCGCGTCCTGACTCTCTAAGCTGTGAGCACAGTGTGATGAGCAGGGGCTCTGCCAGATTTGAATCAGCTTTGCCTCTCAGCCCCGAAACACTGGCCTGGTAACTTCAGCCTCTCAGTCTTCCCATCTGTAAAATGGCACCATTGGATGGTGCGAACATAAAATCAGTCAATGTCAGGTAGACAGTGCTGTAGGCTCACTCGCCTCATTTCCCAGCTCAGGCCTCATTGCAGCACCGCCACGTCCTAGCAGTGTGACCCCAGGCAAGAACTGTGACCTTCCTTAACCTTGATTTTCTCACCTGTAAAGAGGGACCAAGTAGGCCTGTTTCCCTGAGGCAGCGAATGAGCACTCATGAGAAAGACTGCAGCCCACGGGGGGCATGAAGGACACTCAGTCTGCTGAGCTCCTCCTCTGCTCTCACTAGTTAAGCCGCCTCCTGCCAACACCGCTACTCAGAGCAGGTGCCTGCAGGGCCAGCTCTGGGGTTCAGGTGAGGCAGTGAGCATGAGTCTGCTGCAGCTCGGTCCCACCGTGAGGGTGGTCACCACAGGAGGAGACCCAGCAGGGCTTTCCATCCGGGTGCTGAAGGGGTGGAGCCTGTGCCCAGCAGGTGGACCCTCTCACCCGCCTTTCCCATAGCTTGGCCTGAGAGGGGTAGTTTCTTTTCCCAGGATGACTGCAAGAGCCTCCTGGTTTTTTACTCAATTCTATAAAATTATGAGGAAAATCCTAGTGATGCCCATTGGGTCTCTTGGGAAAAGAAGCCAGGTGGAGCTGGAGCAGAGAAAGGGAGAGGGAGAGGGAGGTCAGGGCACATGGCCAACGGCCTTAGAGGACATGGGAAGGACTTGGGCTTCACTTAGTATGACTTAGGGGGTCACGGTGGGTTTTGAGCAGAGGAGTGAGAGGCTCTTCCCTTCGCTTAACAGGATGGCTCTGGCTTCTTTCTTAAGAATCATCTTAAAGGGGACAAAGGGAGAAGCAGCGAATCGGCTGAGAAGCTATTGTAACAATCCCAGCAAGCGGGTGGTGGCTTGGGCCAAAATGATAGCAGTAGAAGTGGTGACGGGTGCTCAGGCTCGGGATATACTTCAAGGTAGAGCCAACAGCTGCGGGGGTGAGAGATGAAGAGGGGCCAGGCCTGCCTCTAAGTGCTTGGGTGGCCTAAGCCAATGGAAGGACGGAGGTGCCATTGACCAGAGCGGGGGCAGGTTGAGCGGCTCCTTCTGGGGCTTGATATATCAGACACCCCATTCGGCATGCAAGTGGAGATGTCGAGACCAAGCTGGCTGTATCTCATCTCATCTTCAAAACAACATGTGGTCTTCATCGCCCTGTTGGAAATGAGGGCGCCCCAATCAGTGGGTTAAAGTTCTGCCTTAAATGCCACGTTTCAAGTGTTGACACAACTTGTAAATAGTGGAGCCAGGATCGGAATCCTCCCCAAGTGATTACAGAGCCCACCCTCTCTTTCTCCACTGCCCATGGAATCTTTGTGGACAGGAAAAGTTACCCATCTTTGGAGCTGAGCTCTCCCAGGCCTGGACCATGTCCTACACCCAGAACCACTCTATGTACTTTAAAAGGAGCATCTCAGGCAGTCCTCCCAGCCACCCTGCAAGAACCATTATTATCCTCATTTTACAACTGTGGAAACAGAGGCACAAAGAGCCTCAGATTCAGGAAAAGGTAGATCTGGGATGTGATCCAAAGATCGAGCTCTTGAACCATATGTCATCCTCCAAAAACAAATGTCAACTCAAAGAATAGCATGGAATTTACTAAAATCAAGACATTGCTTCTTGTAAAGTATCATTCGAAGACAGTGTCACCTTATCTTTGAATCAGCAGATGTTTATTACATGAGAAAATCACAGCCCCGACAGCTGGAACCCATAAAATATTTTATTTAACAAATATTTATTGAGCAACTACACGAGCCGGGCACTGCAGGGCACGGGAGCTACCGAGGCGACTGCGGCGTCGAGAAGCTCAAGGCCTGGCGCATCCGGCAGGGCATCTTCGCCAAGCATCAGGTGCTACAGTCAGGATGCATGAAACAGGGGACTGCTTTCAGCGGTTCTCTTTTCTCTGGTCTCTCTTATTTGTACAAGGCTCTATCGGTATCAATCCGTGAGTTACCTCTTCTGCATGTTAGGAAAAAACCGATGTTATCTGAGCCTCATCAGCGGCTCCCTGTTTTTCACATGAACTGTGGAATTTCACTTCCTTTTGACATCACACCTTTCTCGTGTGTATATTGAGGGGAGGAAGGGTGTGCTTAATGATAACTATGAATGTAAGATAAAGTTAGGCGGTATTACGCTGGGCTTTCATAATGATTAAATTTAAATGCCTGCTTTTCTAAAAAAATAAAGACCGCTGCTCCCTCGTCTTTACTGGGGCTTGGAGCTGATTCGTTCGTGCCTCATGGGAGACGTCTCGTGTAGACGATTGTAAGGGACATTTGCCTACAGAGCCAGCTTCACGAGGACATGTGGAGCTGTATTCAGGAGTGTAGGTTTATAAATGGGGACCTGTGAAAAACAGTGTGGCCCGGCCAGCGTGACTCAGGGCACCAGGAGGTCACTGGTGTGATGCCCCGGCAGGGCACAGGCCCGGGTTGCAGGCTCGGTCCCCAGTAGGGGGCGTGCAGGAGGCAGCCGAAGGATGTTTCTCTCTCTCCCTCCCTCTCCCTTCCTCTTTCTCTAAAAAAAAATCAATAAAAACATTTATTTTAAAAAGCTTATTTCTTTAAAAAAAAACAAAACCCAACAGTGTGTTGAGAGGTGGTTTCCCGGCCAGCGGGGTGAGTACGATCTGATGGTTTGTCTCTGCCTTTCCACAGAAACACCTGGGCACCTACTGCTTCCTGGCCTTCGCCGCGGTCTGCTGTGCGGGGGCTCTCTACTTGTACTTCGTCCTGCCCGAGACCAAGAACAGAACCCACGCCGAAATCAGCCAGGCCTTTGCCAAAAGGAACAAGGCCTACCCACCAGCAGAGAAAACGGACTCGGCCGTCACTGACGACAAGACCGTCGAAAGGCCTGAACCGGACGCCTCACCCACGCTGGACAATTGCGTCAAAAATGGCACTGTCTAACCCTGGCCGGCGTGGCTCAGTGGTTAGAGCATTGGCCCATGCACCGAAGGGTCCTGGGTTCAATTACCAGTCAAGGGCACATACTTGGGTTGCAGGTTCAATCCCCAGTGCATGTGGGAGGCAACCAATCGATGTGTCTCTCTCACATCGATGTTTCTGTCTCTCTCCCCTTTCCTACCTCTGTTCGACTCTCTCTAAAAACCAATAGCAGGGAAAATATCCTCAGGTGAAAATTAACAAAAAAAGGAATTGGATGGTCTCACCATTTCAGAAAACCGAAGATCCCCCTACACGTTGAACATTATGAAGTATTTAAAAATAAACCTTTGCTAATCTAGCATTTCAACCATTTGGGCTTTATTTGTGGCCGAGTCCCCCAAACTCTTCTGGAAGCTGGAAGGAACCACCGTACGTCTTAGCAGACCCAATGTTCTTCTGTGTGGATCCATGGCCTGCCTTCTTCCTGTCTTAGCCCATAGTTCCAAGATGAAACTGGGGAAAGAGCCCTCAAAAGCTTTCTCGAAGGAAAACAGTGCAGTCTGACACAGGACTTGATGGACTGAGAGGCACTGACTGTGGTTCGAGTCCCAGCTCGACCGTAAGCAGCCGTGAGCTTCCCGCAGTCTGGATCCTGAGTCCTCAATGAACCCCTGGCTTCGGCCCTGGGTGAAGGTGTTCAGAATTCAGGTGAAAGACTCTTCATACTGCCTAATAAATGCCTGGTTCCCATCTTTGGCTCTGCCGTGTGGAGCTCAGGGGAACCTGGTACCAACCCACCACCCTCTGCTCTCTCTCATGGGGCTCAAGACCTCCCACCCTGAAGCACCGTCACCTCAGAGCACTAGATGCGTCACAGAGAACAGAAAGATCAATCTGTGGGAGACCCAGAAAGGCAGAGGCAAGAAGTAACCTTCAGCCTTGGCCGGCATGGCTTCTTTGGCTGGGTGTCATTCCCATGTGCCAAGAGGTCTGCACTTTGATTCCTGGTCAGGGCACATGCCTGGGTTGTGGGCTCAGTCCCCAGTAGGGGGCGAGCAAGAGGCAGCTGGTCGATGTTCCTCCCTCCCTCTCTCTCTCTTCTCCCCTCCCCTCCTCTCTATCATAAAAGCAATAAAAACTTTTTTTTAAAAAAAAAAAAGAAGTAACTTTTCAATAGGTGGGGCAGGCCCTGCAAATTGAACTCTTTTCAATGGAAAACAAACATGTTAAGAATGATTCTGAAGCTGGTCATAGGCTTGGTGGGAAAGAACATTGTGAGCGATTAGTGATGTCTACTACACCTGTGCTTCATGTCTGCCAATCCTAGAAGAGATTTCTCTCGAAGACAGTGTATTAGTCAGGGTTCTCCAGCAGAACAGAAATATATATGCAGACACGTCTCGAAGATGCTGCAGGTTCGGCTCCAGACCACCACAATAAAGCGACTATGGCAATAAAATGAGTCAGTTGAGTTTTTTGGTTCCCCAGTGAATATAAAAGTTATTTTTACACTCTACTGAGTCTATTAAGTGTGCAATAGCATTATGTCTAATAAAATATGTACATCCCTTAATTAAAAACTATTTATTGCGAAAAACGCCAACCATCATCTGAGCCTGCGGTGAGCCCCCCTCTTTCTGCTGGTGGAGGGTCTTGCCTCAGTGTTGATGGCTGTGACTGGTCGGGGGGCGGTGGCTGAAGGTTGGTGTCTCTGGCAATTTCTTAGACAACAGTGAAGTTTGCCGCCTCAACAGACTCTTCCTTTCACGAGCGACCTCTCCATAGAGTGCGATGCCATTTGATAGCGTTTTATCTGCAGTGGAAGTCTTTGGAAGTTGGAGTCGGTCCTCTCAAACCCTGCTGCTGCCTTATCAACTAAACGTATGAAATATTTCAAATCCTCTGCCGCCGTTTCAACGATCTTCATGGCATCTTCCCCAGGAAAAAAGGTGTCGATAGATGTAGGGCTGCCGCAAGCCTTCAGTTTCTGAAAAGCGCAATCTTTCTGGAGCACAATAAAACCAGGTAGCCTGTATGTGACTCAACACTGTCCCAACCCAGACCAGCCGTCACTCCCATTACTCGTTGTCTAGAACTCCCCTTTCCCCCCTTTCCTTGGGATCCCCAGGGTGCTGACTCTTGGGTCCCACACATGCAACCCCTTTTATTTTCCTGGTACATCCTCAGCACCAGAAAAATTGCCTTTATTGGAGAAAGGAGCAAATGAAAGAACGAGACAGGCACACTGGCCACCCACCTAGACCATGAAGTTGAAGGGGACCCCCTCGGGGTGCAGGGCAGCGAGCGAGGGTGCTGGGGCCGGACCTCCTGGAGCAAAGGGGCCAGAAGAGCCCCGACCTGCCTGGCCATGGCCTTTGCTTAGGAGTCAAAACCTCTCTTATCTGGGGCTTTTCGTGCTCATGACTAAACCTAAGCTCAGTTGAGTAGGAGGAACCCCAGATAACAGGAAAGAGCCCAAGGCAAAGGAGAATATAGGAAGCCAGTCGGATTCCTTAGATGCTGCTTGGCAAGCTGTGTCCTGGGGCCCAGGCGCACCCAGTCAAATGCGGGGACTCCTGTCCATGGGTTCNTTTAGATGCTGCTTGGCAAGCTGTGTCCTGGGGCCCAGGCACACCCAGTCAAATGCGGGGACTCCTGTCCGTGGGTTTTCGGGGCGCAGCAGCGGCGCCTCGGAGCTGTCTGTGGTGCTGACCTGCGTTTTCTGCCCAACACTCATCTTCCTTCTCAAGTTTGCAAAACGCCTCCACATCGTTGCCCATGGTGCTGGAGAAAACTTGTGAAGTAAACATCACTGGATTCCTTTCATTTGATTCAGACCCTGCACTTCCAGCTCTAAGTCCTGCCACGTTTCACGTTCCTATCACCACTCCACAGGGCCTCAGAAATTTGGCCCAGCCCTGTCCCCAGAGCAACCACCCTGCAATGCATCCCCACCTACGGACCACACCCGTACACTGAGCCCTTCCACTGCGACAACCTGCCACCCGCTGACCTATGGTGGACTGAAGAATTAATGGCCCTTGTGTCATCCCCTATCTCATCGAATCTGGACTTAGCCAGGCCACGTTCTTTGGCCACTGAGACACCAGGAAACGTGTCACGGGCAGAAGCTCAATGAGCGCTGGTGCTCCGGGCTTTCCCTCTTAGATACTAATGTCATCGTGCGAGGAAGCCCCAGCCGGCCTCCTTGGGAATGAAAGACCCCGCAGAGGCTGAGCCCAGCTCCCGGTGGCCTCCGGCTAAGTGCAGCTGTGGGAGTGGGTCCGTGAGAGTGCAGCAGGAGACGCCCCCAACCAACCAGAGTCACGAGAAATAATGAATTGTTGCTTCACGCTGCCAAGCCTGGGCATGGTTTGTTCAACCAGGTACAGAGCTGACGCAGACCCGTTACGCGCGGCTTCGTTTTCTCACTCGGTGAGTTACGCAGCGCTGCTGAGAGACGATGCCCCGGACGAGAGCAGAATCAGCATTCCCTGGAGTGGAGTCTAGTTCATTCTTCCCACCAACTTCCATTGAGCACCTACTATGCACCCATCCTAGGTAATGGGGATACAGAAATGGATGAAACCAAGCTCTCCCTTCAATAGGCTGAGAGGATGTCTGGAGAGACCAACCACTGATGGTCAGCACAAGTCTGGTGGCCCCTCTGTCTTTCTCTTCTCTCCACTTGGATGACTTGTCTTCATCGTTAAGACTATACTGAGGTGCCCCCGCCCCCAGGACACTCTCTGTGACCCTCCCAGGGTGCCCTGGGTTCTCCCTTTTTGAGTCCCACAGAAGCCCATGTTCACCTTTCCAGAGGACTCGTCACTGCAGTGGAATTGTGGGGCTCTTTCTCTGCTTGAATGTCTTCCCTGCTAGACTCCGAGATCCTACGATAAAATGACTGATTCATCTCAGGCCCCCGTGTCTGGTAAATGCTCACTATGTGTTCACTCAGCAACTAAACGCCATGCGACAGATACGAGGGGGCTGCAGTGGGACCCTCGGGAGAGAATGCCTGTGGCTTTGGGTGGCCAGGATAGAGGCTTCCGAGAGGTCGCATGTGAGCTGCATCTCAGATGGGGATTCGAGTTTCACCCGCCCGAGGAGGGGGGTGGGAATTGGAGACAAAAGGGTCAATGCCGAGGGGGTGGCGAATTCAGAGACTAGCAAACTGTCGATGTGGCTGTGGGGGGAAGAGCCAGAGGTCAGGCTGGCCAGTGGTCGGGGTCTAGACTGTGAAAAACCCTGAGTGTGGCACCAACACCCTTCCTGAACATGCCCGGCACCGAGCCCGCCCTGCACCTTCCGTGACAGCTGCTCACGGGCCTGTGCAGAAAGCGCCCCATCCTGACGCCACTTTTTACGTGAATAAGTGAGGGGACGCTGGGGGGTCAGACCGTTGTCACCCGTCTTCTCGTTTCGATTCCACTGAACGTCCACTAGCTGGTTGTGAGGCTGCGTAGGGTGGAGGGGGCTNGGCATCTTCCCCAGGAAAAAAGGTGTCGATAGATGTAGGGCTGCCACAAGCCTTCAGTTTCTGAAAAGCGCAATCTTTCTGGAGCACAATAAAACCAGGTAGCCTGTATGTGACTCAACACTGTCCCAACCCAGACCAGCCGTCACTCCCATTACTCGTTGTCTAGAACTCCCCTTTCCCCCCTTTCCTTGGGATCCCCAGGGTGCTGACTCTTGGGTCCCACACATGCAACCCCTTTTATTTTCCTGGTACATCCTCAGCACCAGAAAAATTGCCTTTATTGGAGAAAGGAGCAAATGAAAGAACGAGACAGGCACACTGGCCACCCACCTAGACCATGAAGTTGAAGGGCACCCCCTCGGGGTGCAGGGCAGCGAGCGAGGGTGCTGGGGCCGGACCTCCTGGAGCAAAGGGGCCAGAAGAGCTCCGACCTGCCTGGCCATGGCCTTTGCTTAGGAGTCAAAACCTCTCTTATCTGGGGCTTTTCGTGCTCATGACTAAACCTAAGCTCAGTTGAGTAGGAGGAACCCCAGATAACAGGAAAAAGCCCAAGGCAAAGGAGAATATAGGAAGCCAATTGGATTC